TGAAATGATGTCTTTGCCTGCCTCCAGTCCATGGTGCCTAACTGGGTGGCTGGCATGGGGGAGATGTTCGCAGAAGCTCACTGGAGGAAGAACAGAAGTATTGGAGGGCTTCTTTGAGTCCTTACGTTTTATAGAAGTGTATTATCACTTCCATTAGATAGTTCATACATCTATGTCCTGTGTAAACATTGAATAAAAATGTCCTTTTTCGCTTGGTCTAGAATGAATGATCACATGTTTTTATAACCACCTCAATAATTTGAGGAACGCAGAGAGTTATAACTAGACAGGTAAGTAAAATGATACAAATAAACAGATGACCTCTGTAGGGAAGACCCTGGTAGATGTTAGTCATTAACATAAAAGAAACTGTACCTTTCGAAGTGTCTCAGGCTGCAAGGGCCTCACCAGACACACAGTCCACAGGGGAAGCAGCTCCTCTCCCACCCAGCTCCTTTGGAAGCTCTGCTCTTTTCACAGGGGGTTTCATAAGTCGACCAGCCCGTGTGCCCTTTAAAGCCTATGGGGTCAGTGAAAGGGCTGCAGTAAGCTGACAGTTTTAAATACAGATAGTGATTTTGTATGTGCAATTTAACACATGCTACACATTTAATTTAATTCTTAAGTTGTTTCTAAACCAGTAGCTCTAGACATTGCAAGCTAATGATAAATACCATAGCCATAGGCTTTTTTTTTTTTTTAAGGGCCACATCTTTATAATTTCTGATTTATTGGGCAATTTTGAAGTGTTGAGAAATGCATCTTCTAAAGTTAAGCTTTTTTGAATCCATAGAGGTTTTGCAGCCCGCAGCCCTCCCCCATCACCACTCCTAAACTTGTCACCAGCCACTCTATTTGGGGCTTCTCTCCTTTACTGCCGATGTTTTCCAAAAAATCTTGTGCACACAAAACTATAATGACCTAGCTCTAAATGTATTTGGTTCCAACATGACATTTTTATTTTATTTTTTAAAAGATTTTATTTATTTGAGAGAGAGAGAGCGTGGGCAGAGGGTAGGAGCAGAGTGGGAGGGAGAGAATCTCAAGCAGGCTCCGTGCTGAGCGTGGAGCCTGATGCCGGGCTTGATCTCACCACCTTGAGGTCACGGCCTGAGCCAAAATCAAGAGTCAGATGCTTAACTGACTGAGCCACCCAGGCGCCCCATGACATTTTTTAAAGAAGGCTTTGCTTTCTTTTTCAGTGCACTGTTGAAGTTGCTTCCCACCTTTGAAAGTAATGTAGCCATATTTACCAGCATGATTTTACTTTCTGTACTTGCTTCGGTATACCTTTCATGTGGCCTGTGCAATTCATATTTAAGTTGCTGATCATAAAGGGATGAGTTTCAACTCATTTTTACATTTTCCCCTTTATGTATATGTACACTTTTTATAGAATAATAATGACCAGAAGGAAAGTAAGACTAGATTGTTCCAAATAAATGTACCTAGTATTCACTTCTCTTTACATTTCTTTTTGCTTACACATCAATAGAATTTATAGTGCCAAATAATATTCACTGTTACTTTCAATTTAAGACAAATTACTACTGCCCAAAGACAGACTGTAGGGCACCCGAAATCCAGGTGGGAATTAAAATCTCTGTCACATCTCCAATCCCATTTCCCCTTTTCCCCCATGGTGATGATCCTTCTTCTATTTGGAAATTATCTATATCTTAAAACTGTATTCAGAAACATTGATGGCCTAAGAATAGCGTTCTGTAAACTGCCGGAGGACGTCTGAAATTTGGTTTGTACTCAGCCGATAGCACAATGCAAGTGAACACGAGAAACCCACGGCCAGCACTTTGAGTCTCTGAGTATGAGCTCCGTTTTCTCCATTGTTTCACCCTTTGCGTGCTAATCAGACGTAGTGGTCTTTGTGGTGTATCCATCTTTCAGGCCTCTGAGCAGTTTCCTCGGGATTAGGAGGGACCTGCCACTCCTCACTGACTCCGTCCTCGTAATTTGCTTTCTGTGCAGGCTTTGCTTGTCCACAGGGATGAGCTACTCCAAGGAAGGGAGATCTAACTTGAGGCTCCCCTCCCAGCAGCCGGAGCTGGTCATTAGCCGTGAATACGGACCTCTAGGCATTGAGCTACAAGATGGATGCATCTGTGGCTGATTGAGCATGCTGGCCCATCCCAAGACCAGCATGACTTGTGGAATTGTTATCTTGTCAGTGACAGATGTGCTTAGTGGAGGTGACTTTTGACCCCCTCCTCCCCCCAAAAAGGCCAAAGGAGCAAAAGGAAACTTCAAAGAACAGGAGAGTGTGGTCACCCTTTGCAGGCCCGAAAGAACACATACCGTAATCAGCCTCATTATCCGTCACATGTTGCCTTGCGCTTAATCGGACTACATTTTGTTTCGTGATGTGGCGCTGCCTGTCTCTTCCTCCTCTGGACTGGACATCAAAGGATTCAGATTCTTTCATTTCCCTAGTCTTATTAATGTGCTGTAAAAAAAAAAAAAAATCACACTTTCTTTCCACCATCAGAGAAATGTCTTTGTTCCTAAAGATAGAGGATCCTTCAGCCATTCTGACTTCGAAGGAGAAGTAAAATGCATTAGTTCAATTTAAGCACGAAAGACCGTTATCACCAATGACCTGTTTCAGCAGGGCATATCATGGGGATTAATGACAGACTCAGGGGAGCTGATGACCCACAGCAAAACCAAAGGGCCATTAACCCCTATCAGTCATTTAATTCCCAGGGAAAACCCATTCAGAGGTAATTATTGCTGTTATAACCTGAAAAAAAAAAAAAAAAAACAGAGGTGCATGAATTACATTAATGAGCTCTGATCATTTTATTTTATAATGTTAGCCCAAGAAGAAGTAGATGGACTTAGAAATGTGAGTTTCCTTTTTTAATATCCAAGGAAATACTCTTTTGGAAATGTGGCCCACAAGTTCGGTGGACTCGCTCCCCTATTCTGTGCTCAGTTCCTGATCCCAGATGGTTCCAGACCACAGAGACATTGACTCCAGGCTGTATAGTCCTAGAGTGGCCTTCTCTGGACCATTTCCTTTTGGTGGGTTACTTGTGCTCAGAGTAGGGATGAGGAATTGGAAGCCAGATAGGCCTTCTGCTTTCCAGCCCGCCCCCAAGTCTCTGCCCCCTACTGGTGCAGGGTCAGCTCTGTCCCTCCCTCCCTCCTACCCTCTCCCCTTCCTTCAACAATGTGAAGTGGGCGCCTACTGTGTGCCAGGTGCTGTGGTCTATCAGGATGGGGCAGATGCCCAAAATGCATAATTGATATAAAGGAAAAGGAGGTTAGGTGCTAGGATTCTGAGATGGAGGGATTTGCTAGTTTCCTTGGACTGCTGTGACAAATTGCGACAAATTGGGTCTCTTCAACAACAGATACTTTTCCTCTTACACTTCTGGAAACCAGAAGTCCAAAATCAAGGTGTCTGCAGGGCCACACATCCTCTGAAGGCTCTTGGGGGCAATCCTTCTTTGCTTCTTCCTGCTTCTGGTTGTCCCTGGCACTCCTTGGCTTGTGGCCGCATCACTGAGCTTTCTACCTCTGTCTTCACATGGTCTCTGTGTGTCTCCAATGGCCCTGCCCTCTGCCTTCTCTCATAAGGACACCAGGCATCTGGAGATCCTGAACTGGTGGGATATGTGCCGCAAAGATCCTATGTCCAGCTAAGGTCCTATTCACAGGTTCTGGCTGGACATATCTTTTGGAGGTCACTGTTCAACACACGACAGGGAGCAAATTCTAGGCACGGATATCAGAGCAGACTTAGTGGAAGATGTAGCCCTTACATTCCGATGTGTGGAAGGCTCTTTCCAGGTGGGAGTGCATGAGTGCAGAGACAGGACGATGCAGGGGTTGGGGCAGAGAGGAGGTGGAGGATTGCCCGGGAACAGGATATAGAGAACATGGGTGAGGGACAAGTGTGGGGAGATGGACTGGGGCATGATCAGGTATGAGACTGTGCAGGTACTTAGAAGAGGAAGGGAACAGAAATTCGAGTCAGGGCAGTAGCAGTAGGAACTGATCGGAAGGCTTGGACTCTGAAGGTAAAACGATGACCTGGAAACTTGATATGTCACAGTCGGAGGAAGTGGCCCCCGGTGAGAGTGAGTGAGGGGAAAGAAGCAGATATGAGGCCCAAACAGCAAGCCTACAGGACTGGGTGTTGGGGTGAAATTGATGAAAGAAATAAGCAACACACGAAGAGGAGCGAGCACGGGAGAGAAGGTTAGAGAATATGAACATTGAGACATCGGAAGGCCAGGCAGAAATGACTCTCAACCAGGTGAGATCTTGGGGCTTGAGTTCAGAAGGATGTCACGGCCTGGCAATTTGGGGGTCTTTTATGTAGGGTACTCTTCCAAGCCCTGAGATTGGCTGGTGTGGCAAAGGGCAAGTGTGTGGTGCTAGAGAGTGAACAAACACAGAGAGTTGGGGACCTAGTCATTTAGGGACTGGGAGGAGGAGAAGGTGTCAGGAAAGAAGCCGGTGAAGGTGCCTTGCTGAGTTTGGTGTCCCAGAAGCCAGGCAGGAAGGGGTCAGGAAAGTGGGACTGCTTTGGGAGAATGACAGAGTTTTGGAAAATAGCGATGATGGTCACACCATAGTGTGAACATCCTCGATGCCACCGAATCGTGCACTTGAAAATGGTTACAATGGCATATTTTCTCATATATCTACTCTCTCTATATATGTATTTTCTTCTTTCTAGTCTGTATTCTATCTATATAGGTAACAAGGGGAAAGAATTGGGAAGAGGAAGCAAACCGCATCTAAAATAGTTGCCCAAGAGAACCACGATTGGAAAGGTCATGTAGTTGCCCCCAGTCGTTCTACTTCCTTTGGCCATTTGGAAAAACACATTTGCATTGGTGGGCTGCTTCCTCTGGCGCATATCTTGGCTTGGCATTATAAAAAAGATTCATGGGGCTGTGAATGTGTGGTCTCCTTAGAGCTAGAGTGGTCACATCCGTGTTTAAACATCGGAGCAAGAGAAGGTAGCTATGGGATATGCCTTAAGGAGTGAGGTCACAATGCTTGGAGATAACGATATGCTAATTGCTGTAAAGATACAGTGGCGGTTTCTTCGAGACTTTGCCACCTTCTCTGGATCGATACAGCAGCTGCACTGTAGTGGAAAACTAACTTCTGCCTTGGCAGATGAACTGTGGCGGTCTCTAGCAGGCACCTCTTGGAATGCTAAGCTGTTAGTTTTGCTCTAACTTCTCTTGCATTGTGTGGGTTGGCATTGCCCATAGGAAGGAGTCTTTGCACCAGACATAAATGTAATTTTTGAGAACTATCATCATCCCGTTCAATAAATTGAAATAAAATATGCATTTCCTAGAATATGTCCTGTTTTAAAACAATTATCCAAGGGCAACAGAAACCTCTTACAGAATATTAATTGCTCTCGCGTTAGTTATGAGTCTGCGGTGAGTGAGAGTGTGAGTGTATGTGTGCACACGGCGGGGGATGGATGGGAGGAATGGGAGGTGATAACCTCCCTGGACCTTACTTTTCTCATCTGTCAATAAGGGCACAGGACCAGTTGACCTCTGAGTGTACTTCCAAGTGTAAATATTATGCGCTCCTAATATTGTGACTAGAACAGCAACAGGCCTACGTAGAAGTTTAAGATAAAGCCTTATGTGCTTCCAAGTGGCAAGTTGTTAGTTTAATGAATCAAAACTTTAAAAAGTCAAATATTTGATTAATTGCACCATTAACCTATTCCTATTAGTTGATTGAAACAAATTGTTTATTAAATTAATTTCCAGTTGGTAATATGTAAATTTGTAATTGAATTAAAATCCCATTATGTATTTTCTTAAGACAAAAGGCACATTGATATATAGTTTGATGAGTGAAGCATAGCGAATGCTAAGGAATCAGCTCAGCTGCAAGAATAATGATCTCTTACCAAGCTCTTTGCAGAGGGAGAGCCGGGCCAAGCAAACGGATCCTCTCAGAATTGTGGGAAAGCAAGTTTTTTCTAGAACATGCGCTCTGTGGCGCACTGACCAGTGAGTATGGCTCACGTTGTCCTCAACGAATTTGAAAAATAAGCATTTCAGAGATGAGGAGGCTTTTCGAGATCATCAGGCTCTCTTCAGGTTGTTTGAATCAGCAGCTGTCAGTTTAGCTGTCCTGCAACCCTGCTTGAGCCCCTCTGGCGAGATGGGGGAGCTTGTGGGCTGAGCTGCGATTGGGTCCCTTTGGGTGGAGTCAAACCGTCCCCTGTCCCCCTGTGGGCCCCTCAGAAGGCTGCTGCTTCTTCCCCAAGACTGCCCTTCAGAAATTGAAAATCAGAGCCCCTGTGTGCCTGGAGCCTGGTCTTTTTTAAAGCCAAGCATCCTGGCCCTTTTAGCCAGCGTCCTGGCTAGCGCGGGGAGCCCCCTCCGCTTCCCTGGAAGCTGAGCACATTCCATTTTGCCTAGTTCCGCTGAGCACCGGGCCCATAGAAATGCTCCCTGTGGGGAGTCAGGGTGACCAATTAGACTTACTTTCCTTCAGGGCCTTTGTGCAGGCCTGGGAGGTTCCTTGATGAGGGGGCAGGTGTTTCCTGCAAAACATCCCTAAGTAGGCATTTCCCAGCAGGCGTCAGTCCCTCACTGGCCTTTGAAATGCGCGGGGGACCCTATGGGGCCTTTGGGTTTCTATTTTCTGGGTAAATGACAGGGAGCAGTGGTTGGGGAGATACCAGATACATTTGTATTTGCCTTTGTAATGTCATTCTGGGGCTTTCCGGGGAAGTATTTCTCTTCTTTGTTTTCTTCAAAGCCTTCCCTCATTCTTACAGGTGGGAAACCCCGCAGGTCACCTGGGGGCACTCTCCAAGTGCATTCCAGCGGTGCTGCTGGCTGGCCCCTCATTCCCCAACACCCCGCCCCGCTGTAGGCCCAGGTGTAGAAAGTGTCTCTGGGACTTCCCTCTGCTTCTGCTGTCCCCATTCCTGCCGGAGCCTGGGAGTCTGGGAGGGGCCTGGCAGACACGTGACCTCTCCTGCCCCTCCCCTGCCCGGGTCCTGTCCCCTGCCAGCTCCTGGCTAACCTTCATCGGCCCTCTCTCCTTGCTTTTCAGCAGGTCTCTGGTTCGGCCTGCCATCTTCTTCACCGCTGCCATTCCAAAGCTTTCCTTTCTTCGTGAGACTCGTCCTCCTCTCTCTTAGCGGCTGGACTCATCTTCTTGTCACTGTGCCCCTCCAGCTCTTGTCTCTTTCTGCCTCAGGAGAAGGGTCCTGCCCCCTCCCACATGCACCCCTCAGTCTCGGAACACTGGAGCTTTCTCTCTTTTTCATGTCAGGGTTGAGGGTCCTAGAGGATTGTATTTGCCTGAAGACTCACCACCGGAGAAGCTGCACCCCGAATGTGAATCAGCCCCATCTCAGTGTAAGAATATGCAGTGAGATGATACTGATAAACTGTTCGTGCTCAAACCCATGAAGGGACGAGGACGCAAATTCCTGATTTTGCTAAGATTGCTTTAGGGAAGTTTTCAGAGAAAGCAAAAAAAGATATGTACGGTTGTCCGGCACACACAGTCAAGACAAGGACAAGGCCAAAGCCCGACGGATCTGACTGGAAAAGATACTACAGCGAGACAGTTTCAGATTGAGGCACACACATGAAAAGGACAACTGGGAAGGGAGAGGGGCCAGATGAGCTGTGGGCACCCCTTGGCTGAAGAGTTCCAAGGTGGGGGGCGGGGATTGGCCAGAACCCAGGAGCGGATGAGAAACTCTGTCCTGAGGGTCTTCCAGGGGGGCTGGGGAGGAGGGTGGGAGCCGGCCTTGCAGCCTCTTGTGTTCACGGAGGAGCACAAGGTGTTCCGCCAAGACTCAGACCTGCTGTGGTTCAGGCCTCAGCCTCCGTGCAGCAGTAAAGGGCCAGATAAAGCACACATCATAATGTTGTGTCTTCGTGTCTGTTTTAAAGCCCGCCTGTGTGAGATGAGGGATTCCGTTGAAATGCAGCCATCATTTTGAGTTTCAGTGGCCTATGAACCCAGTAGCAAAAGACCGAAAACTAATTTCCCTTTAACTCGAATGCTAACTTAATAATCATATAAATACCTTCATGTTTAATGCTTAGGCAGAATTTCATTAAAATTTCTTTGACGTTAAGCCAAATTTTGAAGTGAATTGGAACTGGTTTGCATTTCTTAAATTGGTCTTTCTTTGGAAATAATGAAAAAGTGTTAGAGTCTTGGCCGAATTCCAATGACTGTGACTCAACTTGTTAAAGTTAAATTTTAATATTTACACATTACATAGTATAATATTTATACTAGGCAACAGATTGGGAGTGTGGAATTCAAAATAGGATACTCTTTGACTTGGAATTCCAGCATGGTAACCGTTACAAATCGGGGGTTATCTAATGCCCAGGCTGGGGCAGCTGGAGCAAAGGGTTTTGAAGTATAAACACTGCTAAGTGTGCAGTTCTTGCTTGTACTCGCATGTTGGGTTTTGTGGCAATGTATGCTTTGCATACTGGCTGATCGTTGATTTCTGTCTCATTGAGATACGCGTACACCACACCAGGGCCTAGCTTGGCTGGTAGTAGAGAGTCAGTGAGGCACCTGGTGACCTGACTGCTGGGCAGCTGGGCCGGCTCAGGGGTGGTGCGAAAGGGATGGGCTTTCCATTCGAGAAGGCAGATGGAGCTACCAAGAGGTGAATAGGATCACAGAAGGACTCTGGAAATGAGTCACTACAAATGCTGTGTTTTACATGTGAGCAAACTGAGGCCTCACAGAGTGACATAATTTGCTTGAGGTCACCAAGCTAGTTAGTGATAGGTCTGAGATGGAAACCCAGGTCTCCAGACTCCCACCCAGGGAGTTTTACCACTCCCAGCATGCACCTGCCTGAAGGTTACGTATTTGCTACTGTAAAGGGCATTCAAGGGTCAGTTGGAGGCTGGAGGGCAACTGGATGATAAATTTGTTCCTTTCTTCTTTCTTTGCTCGAAAGAGAGAGGGGGAGGGCGGGGGGGTGGGCACAGGGAGAATCTCAGGCAAACTCTCCACTGAGTGCAGAGCCCGACGTGGGGCTCCATCTCACAACCGTGAGATCATGACCCGAGCCGAAATCAAGAGGCAGCCGCTTAACTGACTAGCCACCTTCCAAACCCTCCCAGTCAGGGTTCCAGGGGTGCTGTGAAAAAATAGCTCAGGTCCGAAGCCAAGAGGGGAAGGATTCAACACAATGCCCTTTCTCCTCAGTCACAGCCATGCACGAATGGATCATTGGGCCAACCCGTGAGGGTGTTTTCTTACTGAGTGGAGGGCTGGACAGTTGAACCAGATGACTTCTGTGGTCTCTTCTATTCTGAGATGCTCTGATAGAAATCTGCCTCACCCCTAAGTTGTGGATGCGCCTGTGGGCCCACACTCAGGGCCCGTTAGCATTCACTGCTGCCCACCCTTCAGCCAGACCATTGGGTTAAGAGCCTCAGGTTGGGTGTACAAGACGACATTGAGGCAACCCAGTTACAAAGAACACATTCTGTCACTCACTTGGCCGTTAGTCGGCCCCTCTTTCTTTATTTAATAACTCTCTCTGCTTTGTGCCAAACCATGGGCTTTCCTTGGAGGGCTTCCAAGTTACTTCTCTCCTAAAGTAATCCCAAACAGTCTGGAATGTGACAGCCTTTTCACATGGAGTGGGTTGCTTGTAGACACTAAGGCCTGTTTAGTTTTTAGTGATTCATGAGCATTTGAAAGCAAATTTCCCAAACGCATTTTATCTGTTCAACCTCCTGTTCACAAACCCCAGGAGTGCGCCTTTTACTTCCTCTGTCGCCCGGCCTTTCTCTCCCAAAACAGCGAACTGGGAACACTGAGTAGGGGTCAGGATACCTGAAAGATGGCACAGAGAAGAGAGCACTAAATTAAGAGTCAGGACCTGGGCTCCAGTCCCAAGTCATGGATGACGCCAGGCCACCCAGTTCCCCTCTTTATGCTTGATCTTCCCCATAATGGAAAATGACAGCTTTGATCTTGATACCCTCTGAAGACCATTTGATTGAAGGTTGTTTTCATGCTCAATTTTCTCCCATTTTCTCATCCTCGGTTTCAACTACAATAAAGTGTTTTGCAGGTGTGTGGTGCCTTTTGGGATAATTTTGCTCCTATTGGAAGATGTATTGTCATCTCTATTGTTGTAATATCATGGAACCATCTTATTAATCAATAAAATTG